ATAAATACCGAGGGGTACATATCTCGTGTTGGGGGTCTTCAAATGTTACACAAAGAACCCTCTCTGAACAAGCTGTAAACATTATTCGTACATTGCATAATCTCATTAATCTACTAATAAGTGTGTTTTGTACATATTTGACTTAAAGATTCTTCCTGTGTCTTTTCACCCACCACCAAAAAGTGTGTAAACAGATTCATTATCTAGGGAGAGCAAGTCTTGGTTTTGCACCAGGAGAGTTGGGTATTAAGTAAGAATCAACTTGTATGTTCAATATATTGGGTCGGAATTTTATTTCAGTAGGTAAATAGTTGTAAATAGCTGTGTTAAACTTCAGTCTTCAGTATTCAGTGTCAGGAAATGGTCGAAAATGTTGGGCATTCAATTTTGCTAAATACCTCATAGATATTGATCTGGGTATGTTTGGGTAAGACCTGGCCCCGATTTCTCGAAACAAACTTAAGTCTGAGTTTTGACTTAAGTTCGAGTTTTTACTCAAATTTGAGAAAACACAGGAAATGCATTTCACAGAATGAACTGAAATCGGTATTAAACTCGAACCAAAGAAGATAATTTGAGTTTGGTGGATAGATTACTTAAGTTGTTTGGGCTTTTATATTTTAAAAATGCAGTAAAGTTAAAAATTCAGCTGTTCCAAAATGTGAACTCAGTTTGAGATTTGAGTAAAAACTTAAGTTTGTTTCGAGAAATTGGGGCCTGATGTAGGTTGTGGTAAATTGCTTGTAAAATGATTTAAGGACAGGTGTATCCTAATAGACAAACGACTTGGCTTGAAAATATTAAGAAAGTTTCAAAGCTAGATGTATTAAAAAAAAATTAAGGTAGACGTTAGATTACGTCTTTATCTCGTATACACGGTTACGATCCGCGCTAACACGTAGTCAGGAAACAGATAACGTCTTTATCTCGTATACACGGTTACGATTCACGCTAACACGTAGTCAGGAAACAGATAACGTCTTTATTTCGTCGACACGGTTACGATTCGCGCTAACACGTAGTCAGGAAACAGATAACGTCTTTATCTCGTCGACACGGTTACGATCCGCGTTAACACGTAGTCAGGAAACAGATAAAGTCTTTATCTCGTCGACACGGTTACGATTCGCGCTAACACGTAGTCAGAAAACTTCCAGCCACTTCCACCCGGAGGTGACGACATCGAGTGACGCCAGCGCCACAAAAACTGGTTTCTCGTGAACACCTGAAAACCCTTGCGCTATCGTCAGAGTTGTCAAGACGAAACCTGGGCTCACCTGTGACCAGTATACGTTGTTTCAGTCTTGTCTTCTTAGCCTCGGATTCTATTTACACTAAACTATAATTGTAAACGTGGTACAACTCGAAGTAGAGAATAGCATCGGACATGCCGCTGACCACGTTGAAGCCTATGGCGCACTATGGCGTTCTACCTCTGCTGAAATAACCACGTGGAGTGTATAGGTATACACTGTGAAGTCAGTCACGAGCACTCACCATCGAGGATTACTGGCGTCCCTCTTAATACAACCACTTCACAGTGTACAACATGCTTCCTTAAACACGTTGCGTGATCGGGTGCTGAAATATCATTAATAGTGTTCTATATGGCTAGGGTGCCATCAGGAAAGTAGATTAGCATTTGGCAGTAGCGATTATGATATGTTCAGACACTTGCGATATGTTGCTACACTGTTGGCGCAGGTAGTTTCTGTACAATACGCTAAAGGGATAAGACAGTGTCGTCTTTCAATTAGTCTCTTCACTGACGTCGTTATACTCTGTCTTTCTTTACTAGTGGATGTATTTGAACATTCCGTTTGTAATTTCCCATGTATCATATCCTTTCGCTCGATGAAAGATTAACGACACTTTTAAATCAATGAAGAAAATCTACAGAAAGGATTATATTCGGTGTTGTATCGAACGTACAATGCACATCCAACAAATAGAATTTCCTGATAAATCTCTAGCACTTTGTTCATTTCACCCCAGTGTTGATACGTATCGTGGGTTGGTCAGTTTGTAAATCTGTACTATTTATCAGCTGGCCGTAGCAATCGATATGAGCTCCCGAGGAATTTCCGGTTAGCTCTGACCGTCTCTATATTGCCGGTCACTTTATTTTACCTCGTCGACTCCTCTCTCATTTGCGTGTTTCTGAAGAAACATTTATTGTAGTTCCGCCGTACATCTGAAATTAATGGATAGCAAATAAAGTTGGCTTATTCTAACTTGTCAACATTTGTTAAGACAAAGAAAGTGAACATAGAAAACGTGACCTTTTTGTTGAGCCTTGCGTCTCTGTGATAACACCAAACACGGCTCTCTACAAGTTCTGCGTAGGCTGAACATTTTTCTGTTAAAAAACACTCCCAGGAGATTTCCGTCCTTCATCGTAAAAGCGAAGCATGTTTGAGCAGTGTTGCAGTGGGTCTTCTCCACCGTGAGGCAGCAGCGGCTGAAATGTTCGCCATGCTCTCTACTGTTGGCGGCTTAGTATTGACTGTAAATGACGGGCTTTTAAGCCATATTAGACATTCAAGTTTGCTGTGACAACTGATTGATAAATCGAGTAGATATTGCACCCATAATGATATTCTCAAAAGATGATGTTATATTTTTCAGGTAAGATTTTAAAACATGGGTTTTATAACAATCACTTTAAGAGATAATCGCAACTCGTTATTCCCTGGCATTAATGCTGTATAGTTACAGTTGGAGACCAAAGATTACGTCGATCACTAACGCAACACATGTGTTTTGTTCGATTGTTGTTTAACGCCCCACTCAGCAGTATTCCAGATTCATGACGGTATTCTATTAAAATCGATTCTGGACCAGACAATCCAGTATTTGACCATCGATCTACACATTTCAGATACGAAGACATGAGTCAGCCAAGTCTCGGAGCCTGTCCGCCTGGTCCGTGTGTTGTCCAACAAGCATGGGTTACTGAACATCACTTGAAATCTCGGAGCCTGTCCGCCTGGTCCGTGTGTTGTCCAACAAGCATGGGTTACTGAACATCACTTGAAATCTCGGAGCCTGTCCGCCTGGTCCGTGTGTTGTCCAACAAGCATGGGTTACTGAACATCACTTGAAATCTCGGAGCCTGTCCGCCTGGTCCGTGTGTTGTCCAACAAGCATGGGTTACTGAACATCACTTGAAACTGTCCGCCTGGTCCGTTGTTGTCCAACAATCATGGGTTACTGAACATCACTTGAAATCTCGGAGCCTGTCCGCCTGGTCCGTGTGTTGCCCAACAAGCATGGGTTACTGAACATCACTTGAAATGTCGGAGCCTGTCCGCCTGGTCCGTGTGTTGTCCAACAAGCATGGGTTACTGAACATCACTTGAAATGTCGGAGCCTGTCCGCCTGGTCCGTGTGTTGTCCAACAAGCATGGGTTACTGAACATCACTTGAAATCTCGGAGCCTGTCCGCCTGGTCCGTGTGTTGTCCAACAAGCATGGGTTACTGAACATCACTTGAAATCTCGGAGCCTGTCCGCCTGGTCCGTGTGTTGTCCAACAAGCATGGGTTACTGAACATCACTTGAAATGTCGGAGCCTGTCCGCCTGGTCCGTGTGTTGTCCAACAAGCATGGGTTACTGAACATCACTTGAAATCTCGGAGCCTGTCCGCCTGGTCCGTGTGTTGTCCAACAAGCATGGGTTACTGAACATCACTTGAAATGTCGGAGCCTGTCCGCCTGGTCCGTGTGTTGTCCAACAAGCATGGGTTACTGAACATCACTTGAAATCTCGGAGCCTGTCCGCCTGGTCCGTGTGTTGTCCAACAAGCATGGGTTACTGAACATCACTTGAAATCTCGGAGCCTGTCCGCCTGGTCCGTGTGTTGTCCAACAAGCATGGGTTACTGAACATCACTTGAAATGTCGGAGCCTGTCCGCCTGGTCCGTGTGTTGCCCAACAAGCATGGGTTACTGAACATCACTTGAAATCTCGGAGCCTGTCCGCCTGGTCCGTGTGTTGTCCAACAAGCATGGGTTACTGAACATCACTTGAAATCTCGGAGCCTGTCCGCCTGGTCCGTGTGTTGTCCAACAAGCATGGGTTACTGAACATCACTTGAAATCTCGGAGCCTGTCCGCCTGGTCCGTGTGTTGCCCAACAAGCATGGGTTACTGAACATCACTTGAAATGTCGGAGCCTGTCCGCCTGGTCCGTGTGTTGTCCAACAAGCATGGGTTACTGAACATCACTTGAAATGTCGGAGCCTGTCCGCCTGGTCCGTGTGTTGTCCAACAAGCATGGGTTACTGAACATCACTTGAAATCTCGGAGCCTGTCCGCCTGGTCCGTGTGTTGTCCAACAAGCATGGGTTACTGAACATCACTTGAAATCTCGGAGCCTGTCCGCCTGGTCTGTGTGTTGTCCAACAAGCATGGGTTACTGAACATCACTTGAAATCCAGATCTTCACTGGCACATTACACGTGTACAAAAGAAATCTTAGTTCCGGTTGAGGAACATTTATCAAAAATTTTAAAAAGTAGATATTTTCTCATGATCTAAGTTTTATTCAGCACTTATGACATTATATCCAAACTACAATTAAAGTCACATAGTCTGATTTATGAATCTTTCAAGTATTCATGTTCGTGTGAGGCATTTCAGAGAACTAAATAGCCAACAGGTAAATTGAAGTCTTGTTTAGACTTGTCTCGCCCACACTTCAAGGCCAAGGGTAGCAACGCTTCATTCCTAAGTCTGGAAAATCAAAAGACGAGAGCTGCCTTGATTCGGTTATGAGAGCCACTACTACTGTAGTGTCGGTATTGTCCTTCTGTCACCAAGTCGAGCCCTCGCAGACCCTAGTGGGACGGACCTTCGCCACCACACTGAAGTAGTTGGACCAATGGTGATGGAGATAGCGTGGGAGCACGTGTGTATCAGTGAATGTTGCTGGCATCACAGCTTGTGAGACTACTGGAATGTGATATTGACCGAATACCAACCAGTCATAATGCTTTGCCGGGGCGGGCGGGTGACACTGTAGAACTAGCGCGCGTTTCCGGAAGTGTAGTGTTTAACGCGCGCGACAGATACACTCTGTCACTGCGTATAAGGGGACGAGCGAGACACCACGCTAAGGCTGGGAGTAAAAGTTGGACTAGGGCTCATAACGACACGGAATTATTAAGGATAATTTCCTTCTGTTTGGACATTAGTAGAATTTCTTATCTAGCGGAGTGCATAACGTTTTACCGACTCATACCATTTCGGATTGAGTTTGAAATTAACAACTTTCTTAACCAGGATTGACTTACTGGAGCACACTACAGGGACGTACAGGAAACAAAAGGTAAACAGTTTCATGTTGTTTTAAGCAAATAATATGATTAATAAAACACGTTCAAATAGAAAAACTCATAAAACAGAACATTCGGGACATTGTGTGGAATATTTGAATATATGTAATAAAGTTACATATTTATGAATTACTTCCCGATGTCAAATGATTAAACATCGTAACTGAATGTTACATATGTAACATGTCTATTTGAGCATTGTGGGGCAGACGCAGAAACGAAGGAAAGCAGCATATCAGCAGGAATGTTTTATGCGCATTCTTGCTGAAACTCAACTTCGAAGACTGCTTCGCTGAACGCCCTAAATTTGCGTCATTTCGTATTGGTGGTGGTCAATAAAATGTTTTTAACGATATGTTTCCTCATACATTGTTCTTTAAAACAAATTTACTTTTAAAAAGTTATTCTGATGTAGAAAGCTCTTTTGATGATATCGGGCGTCGCTTCACCGCATCCGGGTATTCTTGCAACCCTACTTTATGAATTGTTATAAACCAACAACTATTTGAGTTTGTTTGCATTTTATAAGAAGGTGTCAAACAAAACCAGAACCTTATTCCGTTTCTTCGTATGCTGAATAAGGAGCTCCGTCATACGTGGCTTCAAACTGGGACTGGTTCTACGTGGATGATGTCGCGCAACATTCCCGTGCAAGAACCTACCTATCAGCTGTTTACGTGAATAGGATATCAGATTTTCCCAGGCAGTAAAATTCAGGAAAAAGCAGTTTTTAATGTGTATAAAATACATTAGACAGTTACCGTCTCTATAGTTACAGAATCAGTAGCACGGGCCCACCCGTTTTATAAAGTCTCACAAACAGGCGGGATAGTGATGAATACTGTTTCGGGTATAGCCCTGATTGCTGGGTGTTAATTGGGGGCGAGGTAAAGTGAGAATAACTGAACATGCGTCATTTGCATCTCAGACGAGTCGGATTTAATTCTTCTTGTGGGATTCAATTTTATTCACTCTGAAACTTTATGTAATCGTATTGGTCTGAACGAGTGCAGTTATGTTTGCTCACTCGTCACTTGACGTTGAAATGTGCACAATATTCGTTCATCAGGTTCACTTTGGGATTGAGATTCAGTATCTATCTGTGTGTAAACTGTCAGTTATCATGAAACTGGCCATGTTCGTAAATGCTACCAGGTGTGAAATAATTTGTGATTATCCATTTAGTGCCTTGATGCTTTGACAGTGCTTACACGAGGTTAATTCATACCCTCATATGTACGGTTGGTTAAACCGGCATATTGATGCACTTATTGTGGTGTACACCTGTATGTTTGGTTATTTTGTGGTGTATCGATACACCTGTATGTTTGGTTATTTTGTGGTGTATTGATACACCTGTATGTTTGGTTATTTTGTGGTGTATCGATACACCTGTATGTTTGGTTATTTTCCGGTGTATCGATACACCTGTATGTTTGGTTATTTTGTGGTGTATCGATATATCTGTATGGTTGGTTATTTTGTGGTGTATCGATATATCTGTATGGTTGGTTATTTTGTGGTGTATCGATACACCTGTATGGTTGGTTATTTTGTGGTGGATCGATATATCTGTATAGTTGGTTTTTTTGTGATGTATCGATACACCTATATGGTTAGTTATTTTGGGGTGTATTGATACACCTGTATGTTTGGTTATTTTGTGGTGTATTGATACACCTGTATGTTTGGTTATTTTGTGGTGTATCGATACACCTGTATGTTTGGTTATTTTGTGGTGTATCGATATATCTGTATGGTTGGTTATTTTGTGATGTATCGATACACCTATATGGTTAGTTATTTTGTGGTGTATCGATACACATGTATGGCTGGTTATTTGTGGTGTATTGATACACCTATATGGTTGGTTATTTTGTGGTGTATCGATACACCTGTATGTTTGGTTATACCGGCGTATCGATACACCTGTATGGTTGGTTATTTTGTGGTGTATTGATACACCTATATGGTTGGTTATTTTGTGGTGTATCGATACACCTGTATGGTTGGTTATACCGGCGTATCGATACACCTGTATGGTTGGTTATTTTGTGGTGTATCGATACAGCTGTATGGTTGTTTTTGTGTGTGGTGTATCGATACACCTGTATTGTTGGTTATTTTGTGGTGTATCGATACACCTGTATGGTTGGGTTTTTTGTGGTGTATCGATACACCTGTATTGTTGGTTATTTTGTGGTGTATCGATACACCTGTATATTTGGATATTTTGTGGTGTATCGATACACCTGTATGGTTGGTTGTTGAGTGGCATATCACTGCAGATGTTCCTATGCGTTTGTTACTAAAACCTCTGCATATCGATGTCGAAACGTACAGAAACCCTGGCAGGAATCCTCTGATGCCTTCACTTCGACGCTACCGAAAATCACCAGGTAAACCACATAGTATGATATACATATGTGGAGGTGTTCTTAGACACTCCCCCTAGTCTTATTCTTCATTAGTTAATGTAATGGTTTCTATAATGTGGTGTTTCATTGGGATGCTACTGTACATAATGGTTATTTCCTGGCCGACCGAGTGTCTGTGTAGGAATGATTCAAGTAATTCCTTGTACTCCAAGAGCTTCATATTGCCTATTGTTCGTCCCTATAGTGGTCAATATTCTCATAAGGAGTCAATCAAACACCTCGTGGCCATCTTATCAAGAACGAACGTGTGAATGAATGGTTTCCGGCCAAAAACGTACTTCTGTGTGTGGCGACCTATTCAAGGTCCTGGAGGTGTTTTTTTCTGTATGAATAGATAATCAGCAGGAGATGTATGTTGGTACAGGTGAAATGCTTTATCTTCCTTCATGATATTATTTTGAACATATATTGTCAAAATAATACGGCAAGATGGTAAAGGACAAATACACTCGGATTTCATTGAAAACAGTTTGACATGTTGTGTCGGGGAAATTTCGTAAGTTCCGTTGAGAGAATAATGTTCCTAATGCGCGGCTACCCAGGAAGAGCGTTCTGGAGGTCCAGGTATGGAAACAATATACTGAACATATGATATGAGCTTGCTGAATGAATATCATGTCAAGTCACAGCCTTGATGACAGCAGCGATGTCCGGAGCGCACGATGCAGAGTCGTCATAGCGTGTGAAACATCTCTGGAAGAGGGTCGCATAACGTGACATATTGGAACATGGGAATTATCTTCCTTTTAGATTCATAAACAGCGGCGTATTTTGACGATTTGGCTTGACACGACACTCGCCGCATTAGAATTGCGAAATGTTGACTTACTGTCGTTACAGAACGGACAGTCACTTCAGACAGAGGGGTACACAGTGAGTGTTAAGTCACGTCAGCAGACAGGCATTTGTGGACCGGAACAGGCTAAAAATGTGTCAGCAGCGTGAATGGAAGGAAGAATGAGAATGAATAAACTTCTAAAGTTCAGACCCAATGTAGTTGACTACTGTTTAATAAAGCAAGGACACTATCATATTGGTGCTATGGTAGCAGATTATTTAGCAAACTGATCAATATAAAGGGAGAATTTATTAACAGAGATTCCGAAATGGTGTTATAAAAATGCAACCATCGAGAGAACATATATTGAAAACATGCTTTCATCTAACAAAGACGCCCTGAAATATATGTTGTCGAACAACTCAGTGCCAATATCGAGTGTGACAACCATTTGCCTTGATAGAGGTCAGCATCGGAGCCCACTCAAGACACCAGATCACTGAAAACAACCTGGGGGTCGTTGTTCTACATGTCAACCAACTTACTTGCGTTAGAGGCTGGTTCCGTGTCTTGTTGCCGGCGTTGTTCCGTCCAATTCGAGACATTTTCTGTGGGAAAGGGTTTGCATTTACACAAAGGGTGAAACGTTTCCTCGATCATGTACGCTCTCCCCTCTCTATTACTATGAGTATTACGCTTCAAGATGATACAAGAAATTGCTGTGGTACATGAAGACGACACAAGGCATTCCTGTGGTTCAAGAAGTTGACACAAGGAATTTCTCTGGTATATGAAGAGGACACAAGGAATTGCTGTGGTACAAGAAGATGACACAATGCATTGCTGTGGTACAAGAAGAGGACACAAGGAATTGCTGTGGTACAAGAAGATGACACAATGCATTGCTGTGGTACAAGAAGATGACACAATGCATTGCTGTGGTACAAGAAGATGACACAATGCATTGATGTGGTACAAGAAGATGACACAAGGCATTGCTGTAGTACATGAAGACGACACAAGGCATTGCTGTGGTACATGAAGATGACACAAGGCATTGCTGTGGTACATGAAGACGACACAAGGCATTGCTGTGGTACATGAAGACGACACAAGGCATTGCTGTGGTACATGAAGATGACACAAGGCATTGCTGTACATAAGATGAAGGTGACACAGTGCATTGCTGTGGTACATGAAATGGACGACACACTGCAGTACAATAAGTGGCTGACACAAGGCATTGCTGTGGTACATGAAGATGACACAAGGCATTGATTGGTACATGAAGAAGATGACACAAGGATTGATTGCTGTGGTAGTACATGAAGATGACACAAGGGATTGCTGTGGTACAAGAAGATGAGACAAGGGATTGATGTGGTACATAAAAAGGACGCAAGGCATTGTCCTGGTACATGAAAATGAGACAATTCATTGCTGTAGTACAATAAGCTGAGGCAAGGCATTCCTGTAGTACAAGAAGATGAGACAAGGCATTCCTGTAGTACAAGAAGATTAGACAAGGGATTGCTTTAGTACAAGAAGATGAGACAAGGGATTGCTGTAGTACAAGAAGATGAGACAAGGGATTGCTCTAGTATATGAAGATGACACAAGGAATTTCTCTGGTATATGAAGATGAGACAAGGGATTGCTGTAGTACAAGAAGATGACACAAGGCATTGCTCTGGTATATGAATATGAGACAAGGGGTTGCTCTGGTATATGAATATGAGACAAGGGGTTGCTCTGGTATATGAAGATGACACAAGGC